ATCGTTCCTATTTTTAAAAGCTTTTCTTGATAGTTGTCTTTTAACATGCTCCCAAAGATTTTCTATAGGGCTTAGGTCCGGGGATTGCGAAGGTCATGTAAGACATTTAACATTTTTTAGTCCTAACCAGTCATTTACGAATTTTAAGGTATGCTTGGTGTAATTATCTTACTGGAATGTCCATAAAGGCATTTCTTCTTCAGCAAAAGGGAGCATATGTTCCCTAAGAATATCTTTTTAAAGTTTTTGATGCATTTTCCCAATAATTTTAACGATTTAACCTGTAGAACTAGAAAAACAGCCGCAAACCATGATGTTTTTATTTTCAGAGAATTTGAATATTGATAAGATAAACCTTGTATTAGTACAGGAGCCAAAGGTAGACTTTAATATTTATATCATATGTTCCTTCACAATTTTAATTTAGGTATATGAAATAGTTCACAATAATGCTAATATTTGGTTCCAAACTTTTGTCCACTACTGTATTTTGTATCTAAAAACATAATTACATATATCCAATGAACCTAGACCGAATTTTATTTTTAATAACTGTAATAAATTATAAAAAAATCATTTGGGTTTTACACATTGATAAAGTACTCATTTAAATCCTCCATATTGCCACTGAATGAGTCGGCCAATATGATTAGATTTTTATTTCGGATGTCGTAACCACACCTTCCATGTCAAACCTTCCATGTCAAACTGTCAAAATCAGGGAGCAAAAGTTTGATTCCTATACAGGGTGTTTCAGTTTATTGTTGCATAACTTTAAGATTCGATAGAACTTTTAAAATTAATGCATAAAGTCTATATAAACATGGGTCGAAAAATGCGTGGCTTCCGAAATACATGGTGTTTGAATTTACTTTTTAAAATAGTTTTTTTTTAAATATGTTGAACAATATTTGATGTATTATAGTGAAAATTGGTATACAAGGGTTTTTTGGTACGACAAAACGAACCATGGGCATAGCTTTACTGTAGCCGCTAGAGGGCGCTCTCTACTGTACCTGTAGTGAATTAAAATGACCGACAATTTTTTCTTAGTGCAATTTTTTGCTTTTTGAATAAAAAAACTGATTCTTCGCACTTATCAACATAAAAAGCTCTCTTGTGAATTTTCGTTATAGTTAGCCGTTTTTGAGATATTTCGATTTTTAAGGTTCGATGCATTTTTAATTATTTATGGGAAAATAATATTTTTGTTACATTTTCGATTTGGGCATTACAAGTTATTAAGATGATCGTTTAAATTGTGTTTTTAAACACAGCAATAATTCCTAACTCCAAATAAACACAAAAAAACAGAATATTAATTTGTTTAATTTTCCAATATTATTTTTAACAAATTAAATTAATTATTTACAACTAAAATGCTATTGGATAGTTAGGACAAACATACAAAATCTAAAGTAGTTGCTCAAAATCTAAACCCAATTGTTCAATACACAATTCACATCTACGAATGATCGAACGTGGTATAGCATTATTCAAATAAGGCCTTATTTCATCACATGCATTCCTGATTCTGTCTATTAGCATATCTCTTGTGGTTACGGGAGTCTGGTACACTTTTTCTTTTAGAAATCCCCACACAAAGAAATCTAATGGATTTAGGTCAGGGGATCGGCAGATCCATCTTTCTGGATAATTTTCGTCCAGCCAATTTCTAACTATTCTCGAATAATGAGCTGGACAACCATCAAGCTGGAACCAAGCCAATCTTCTTAAATCTAACATATTTGCATGTTCAGCCTTTAAAAATTCCAAGAAGGTCGGAACATTTAACCTTGCAGGCAAAAGGTAGGGTCCAAATAGTCGATTACGGTAGATACCAATCCACACGTTCACACTAAATTCATGCTAAAAATTTCTTTCCCGAACTGCATGCGGATTTTCATGCGACCAAATATGTTGATTATGAAAATTTACCACTCCACGTCTAGTGAAGCATGACTCATCGGTCCATAAAACGTTACTTAAAAACTCGCTATTATTATCAGTTCTATCAAGAATCCACTGACAAAATGTGATTCTTCGTTCTTCGTCCCCTGGCTGTAGTCCTTGCACAGGTTGCAAATGGTAAGGACGTCTATGGTCATTTCTAAGAACACGGTGAACGTGGCTTGCTGAAATTCCCAAGGCACCAGAAACTCTCCTAACACTTGTGGTCGGATCTCTATCAAACTCACGCAGAATCATACGGGTAAATCTGCGGTGACGAACATTTACGTTTTGATCCCTTTGGAGATTTCCAAAACCATTTTTTATATAAATAATTAAAAATGCATCGAACCTTAAAAATCGAAATATCTCAAAAACGGCTAACTATAACGAAAATTCACAAGAGAGCTTTTTTATGTTGAAAAGTGCGAAGAATCAGTTTTTTTATTCAAAAAGCAAAAAATTGCACTAAGAAAAAATTTTCGATCATTTTAATACACTACAGGTACAGTAGAGAGCGCCCTCTAGCGGCTACAGTAAAACTATGCCCATGGTTCGTTTTGTCGTACCAAAGAACCCTTGTATACCAATTTTCACTGTAACACATCAAATATTGTTCGAAATATTTAAAAAAAATTATTTTAGAAAGTAAATTTAAACACCCTATATTTCGGAAGCCACGCATTTTTCGACCCATGTTTATATAGACTTTATGCATTAATTTTAAAAGTTCTATGGAATCTTAAAGTTATGCAACAATAAACTGAAACACCCTGTATACTAGGTATAGAACAGGTTTTCTGTGAACATTGGAAGACAAGTTTTGACAACTTATAGGGAAGCTAAACACATCCACAATATTTTTTAATGCAAAATGTTGAATAGCCGTCGGAATAGTAATTTTGGAAAATACATCTTTGTCTTGCTGATAGAATTAAAACATTATTTAAATGATAAGAATCACATTTTCTTAATTCACTTGCACCCTTAAAATGTTCGTAACATGATTTTCAGGGCAACCTGTATCTTAAATTATGCGGAAGAAGAGGATGCGAGCTTTTAATTGTAGAAAGAACAAATCTTCTTATATCGGGATCTGTACCATTGCACAACAGGGATGTTTCCTCCTCAGTCGTTTTTTCTGATGGAGAACATTTAGGAGTTATATCACCTGCCAAAGACGTAAGCTCTTCAATATAAAATGAATTATTTAATGAAATGTTAGTTATGGATTTAGTCCGAATTATCAAGAAAGACAACAATTTTTCATATAGTGAATAGCAAATTTTTAACATACATTTTGAAAACAGTTTAGCTTAGAGTGATTAAAGTAAATCATGTATAAACACTAGTAATTTGTGTTCAATCTGTAAACCACATTTTAGATAACGAATAGGGTTTTAGTGTCATTTAGTTTATGCTTGTGATTTATTTAAAATATTTTACAATAAGGTGTACGTGAAATGTAGTACTGTCAATGATATCTCGAGTAGCAATTACATCTGTACCATTATTCTGGCAGAATGTAACTGTATCTAAATTGTAGTAAATGCCTTTTTATGCAGGATGGATTCGTGGTTAGAATTCTAAACCAAAACCTTTCACCAGCAAGCTTAGTTAGTGAATTGCCTTTGAAACTGGCACGAAAATGTGTCGATGTACTCGGAGTATCAGCTTTTGACGAAGAAATTGGCACATACACAGTTAACACAGGAAGCGAAGAAGAGATCGCCAGTATTTGTGCCGGTAAAGAGTTTGGTTTACTTAGAACAGTTACCGGCAAGGTAAAATATTCCAAAATGAATGTCATTGTTTTTTTTTTACTGGACAAACATGTTTTATAGGTGTATTATTGTGGAAAATCATCGGCAATCGGTATCAAACAAGCTGGAATGAGAACTGGAAAATGGTCGGAACTTGTTCTTACCAAGACTCCTAAGGTTACTCAGATTGCTATAGGACACGATGGACTACACGCTGTTCTTTTGGCAGAAGACGGTTCGGTATTTTTCACAGGTAACCAAACGTTATAAATTGGCCATTGTGTTTTCTCAATACTCTTTCGGAGTATGACATTTTTTTTCAATCAGCATGCCCCGGTTTGAAATTTTTTTAATGTGATATTTACTGTCTATCCCATACAGAGAATGGTAAGTCAAAATTCGGTTGATGGATGGCTCTGTACTGTAGACAAACTTTAACATATGCTCATGGGCATCTTTTAAATATACACTGGTTCATTTTAGATCTATTATTTTATTTTTACGCAACGTAAACATTTCAGGTACCGCTAGACGCGGTGAAGATGGCGATCAAAGTAAAGTGAGAAGACAACCAAAACCAGTAAAGCCAAAAAAGATGATAAAAGTAGATGGACAAGTCATAGTCTACGTAGCTTGCAATAACGGAACAACTGCTTTAATTAACAAAGACGGAGAACTTTTGATGTTCGGGAAAGACACAACGCATGCTGATCCTGCAACAGGTATTCTAACATGTCGATAAGTAACAGACGATTATTTTTGTGTCGATGAGATTCAATACAATTTTTCCATTTACAGGTGCTGTTACAGAGCTGAAAGGCGTATATGTGACTCAAGTTGCCTTAGGAAAAGCTCACACTGTGGTTCTGACTAACAAATGCCAGGTTTATACGTTTGGTATCAATAACAAGTTCCAGTGTGGTAGAGAATTTGTGGGACTTAGCAAAGAAGGTAAACATGCGCTTGAAATGTTGCTTATTCTATTTTAGCACCTGGCCATACCTTTAGGAAATATGAATAACGAAATATGTGCTCTTGTGTGTCATTGGATATTTTAGACCAATGTTTCTCAATCCTACAATGTCGGTAATAAAGGTCACAGCTGAACGCTATTGGTGAATCCCTGTTTTCGCAGAGACCGCTTCAAACCAAGCAGTTGTAGCGATGGACACTTGCGCGTCCCACGACGATCCGGAGCCCTCCTCTTGCGACAACCGCATGCCGGACGACCAATCGGCGTGCGGTTCGGACGGAAACGGGGCGGAGCCTATTGAACTGTGTCCGGCAGGGCGGCATGCGTGGAGAGAGGACGCATGCATGGTGTGCACAGTGTGCGGGGAGTGCACCGGATATTCCATTGGGTGTTTGTCTGCTATGGGAGCAGAGAGGAATCCGGGACAGTAAGTACATTAGTGAACATTTAGGGTTATGGTCAAAATCATATAGTATTCTCAAGCAAATATACTGGTGGACAGTTGCTTTGCAACATGGAAAAATTTACCCAAATTCAAATCTCGATATTTTCGGAACGGACAGAGATATCGAGTAGCGGTGCTCGGGAGGTTCTTCGAGAACGCGTACATGGTTCGAAAGCTATAAATCTTTTAATTATCCACTTATACAGGGTGAGCAAAGGAAGTCAGGTTTTTAGCAAAGTTTGGGGCTATGCCAGATTTTCAATTTAGCGAGTTCAAACTTGTCCTGAAGGCGTATTTGACTAGTAACTATGGATTTTTCAGGGAATGTGGTTGTGGAGAAGGTGACAGCGGCTGTGCTATATGTGGTTGTTGCCGAATATGTGCTAGAGAAGTTGTCGATAACTCAGAATTAGCTGATCTGGCTGGAATGATGAGGCTAGATCTGATCATTCGCGAAAAATCCTTACCTTCTAGGCAGCGAACTCGGTTGCAAGAACAGGTAATTATTCTTCACAGCATATCAAAAATCCAGATACCAGAATCGCGTTTCGATAGATCTTATATCTCTGATAGAGGATAGTTTCGCTCTGATTTCCTTCACTGTTCTATCTAGAGAGACCTAGACCGTGCTGATGGTTGCCAATAAGCATGAAACAGCGCTGTCAACGGTTAGCCCTTTTGCGTTTTAGACGATCCGCTACCGCGCACTTACTTTGTAATATGTTCATACCTACAATACCCCGCCTAACAGCGTAATTTTAGACATTCTTAAAGCTCGGAATACATTAAAAAAAGTTTATTCTTGTGTCCAAAAAAGGAGGACATCCTTATTCGATATGACCCAATACATATTTTTGTAGTATGTTCATACCTACAATACCCCGCCTAACAGCGTTATGGTTCAGTAATTTTAGACATTCTTAAAGCTCGGAATATATTCAAAAATGTTTATTCTTGTGTCCAAAAAAGGAGGACATCCTTATTCGGTATGACCCAATACTGGATGAAACGATCGTCATGAAGCCGAAAATGACACGTTTTAGACGATCTGCTAACATGCACTTACTTTGTTCATACCTACAATACCCCGCCTAACAGCGTTATAGTTCAGTAATTTTAGACATTCTCACGGCTAGGAATATATTCAAAAATGTTTATTCTTGGGTCCAAAAAAGGACAGCGTTATTCGGTATGACCCAATACTGAATTAAACGAGCGTCATGAAGCTGAAAATGACACGTTTTAGACGATCTGCTAGCATGCACTTACTTTTGTAATATATTCATACCTACAATACCCCGCCTAACAGCGTTATGGTTCAGTAATTTTAGACATTCTTAAAGCTCGGAATATATTCAAAAATGTTTATTCTTGGGTCCAAAAAAGGACAGCGTTATTCGGTATGACCCTATACTGGATGAAACGATCGCCATGAAGCCGAAAATGACACGTTTTAGAAGATCTGCTAGCAAGCACTTACTTTTCTAATATGTTCATACCTACAATACCCCGCCTAACAGCGTAATAGTTCAGTAATTTTAGACATTCCTAAAGCTCGGAATATTTTCAAAAATGTTTTTCTTGTGTAAAAAAGGACAGCGTTATTCGGTATGACTCAATACTGAATGAAACGATCGTCATGAAGCCGAAGATGACACGTTTTAGACGATCTGCTAGCATGCACTTACTTTTGTAATATGTTCATACCTACAATACCCTGCCTAACAGCGTTATAGTTCAGTAACTTTAGACATTCTCAAAGCTCGAAATGTATTCAAAAATGTTTTTCTTGTGTAAAAAAAGGACAGCGTTATTCGGTATGACTCAATACTGATGAAACGATCGTCATGAAGCCAAAAATGACACGTTTTAGACGATCTGCTAGCATGCACTTACTTTTGTAATATGTTCATACCTACAATACCCCGCCTAACAACAGCGTTATAGTTCAGTAATTTTAGACATTCTCAAAGCTCGATATGTATTCAAAAATGATTATTCTTGTGTAAAAAGGACAGCGTTATTCGGTATGACCCAAGATTGGATGAAATCATCGGCATGAATCCGAAAATGACACGTTTTAGACGATCTGCTAGCATGCACTTACTTTTGTAATATGTTCATACAATACAATACCCCGCCTAACAGCGTTATAGTTCAGTAATTTTAGACATTCTTAAAGCTCGGAATATATTCAAAAATGTTTATTCTTGGGTCCAAAAAAGGACAGCGTTATTCGGTATGACCCTATATGGATGAAACGATCGCCAAGAAGCCGAAAATGACACGTTTTAGAAGATCTGCTAGCAAGCACTTACTTTTCTAATATGTTCATACCTACAATACCCCGCCTAACAGCGTTATAGTTCAGTAATTTTAGACATTCTAAAGCTCGGAATATATTCAAAAATGTTTATTCTTGGGTCCAAAAAGGACAGCGTTATTCGGTATGACCCATACTGGAAGAAACGATCGCCATGAAGCCGAAAATGACACGTTTTAGAAGATCTGCTAGCAGCACTTACTTTTCTAATATGTTCATACCTACAATACCCCGCCTAACAGCGTTATAGTTGCACTTACTTTTGTAATCTGTTCATACCTACAATACCCCGCCTAACAGTGTTATAGTTCAGTAATTTTAGACATTCTCAAAACTCGAAATTTATTCAATGTTCTACCTAGAGAGACCTAGACCGTGCTGATGGTTGCCAATAAACCTTTGTTGATCGGACGACGAAAGCAGTAATATTATATCTAAGATTAAATTCGCATGCCCAGCTGCTCAGGTTTACTTCTAAAAATATTTGAGATTAGTGCCGTCCTGTTTTTCACATTGTCCAGGCTATTAGACTGAGGTTGAGATGGAAACCAGTCAAAGGAAAGGTGGTAATGTTTCATACGTATACGTAAGAGAAAACTTAATTAAATGATTCATGTAAATGTAAGATCGTTATTTTATACTTCAGTTGCAGAGTCGATTGGAAGATAGGAAAAATAAAAGCAAGAAATTAGTTCAAGGATCTAGCAAGCAAGTTTTGAAAATGAAAGGTTCCAGACCAACAAATAGTGTTTCACCGTTACACAGAGATAGACAAAGCAATTCTTTATCAACCGGTGAGTAAAAAGTTTCAGTTTTTTTAAACGATCGGTGGTCTATATGTGAAATGACACGCCCTAAGAAAATAACCAGTGACACTGTGTAGTGTAATTTAAAGGTTATGTTCAAGTTTTATTTATATAAATAACAAGAATTTGTTAGTTACAAAGTTCTCAAAAACGGTTCTATTTTCTCTTTGTTGTTATAGTTAAAGAGCAGCATGGTTCAGACGTAGAGAAAGATACTGCTAGAATGACGAGTCTACCACCGGCCAAAATTCTGTTACCTACTGATAGCTCTATTGTGCAAGTTGCATGCGGCTTACATCACACTTTGCTGTTAACTCAAAATGGACAGGTAAGTTCAATATATTATAAAGTCCGCTTAACTGGTACCTTGAAAAGCGATCAGACGGCCTCGCAATATCGACACATAGGCAACCAATTATGCTCCCAGAATTACGCGACTGTGTATGGAACGCCATCGCGAACATAGGACAGTTTCGAAGACGGATCGAGCTCAATCTAGAGTTTAAATTTTTTTAAAACAGTGTAATTGTAGCAATAATGCTAAATAAATCTTAAACAAACCTGTCATAATGTAGGAGTAATAAATCAGACTTTAAATAGTGGAAACGTTGTTTTAATTACAATATATCGTTGCGAAAAACGTGAAGACAAATGCCTACCACGATCCTGAAGTTTTTTCTCACCGGTCAAAAAAATGCTTGTGCGTATAGCCACAAGTGAACAGAAGCGTCGACCGAGTTTTCGCGATTTTGTTGACGTGGCGTAAATGAGGCTTGAATAAAGTTTAGGTGCTTATATATTTTTTTGCAGGTTTATGCCTTTGGTTCTAATCTTTATGGTCAGTTGGGCTGTGGCGATATCCTGACCAAAAGTGCGATACAGTTGGTGAACTTGCCGTGTACAGCTGTCCAAGTTGCCGCTGGCGGTAACCACTCGGTAGTGTTGACTTCCAAAGGGGAAGTCTATACGTTCGGAAATGGTCAGGTACGCATTATTTTACATACAAATAACATGAAACACGAAATGAGTTTGATTTATGGCCGCACAAGCGTGTACTCGAACAATCTGGCATATATCCCTCAATTTTAAAAAAAGGTAATATAATACCGATACATAAATCAGGAACAAAAACAGATGTTAACAACTATAGACCAATATCAATAATATCCAGTGTAGCAAAGGTTTTTGAAAAAGTTTTATCTACTAGAATGATTCGATACCTCACAAAATTCAAAATTTTAAGTGAAAATCAATATGGATTTACAGAAGGGAAGGCTACATCGGACGCAATAACTAAAATTTAAATCAAATATATCAAAATATTGATAACAGAATCCCTTCAATCTGCATTTTTGTTGATTTAAAGAAAGCTTTCGACACAGTTAATCACAAATTATTATTAGAAGCATTGGAGAGAATTGGTTTCAGAGGAAACGCGTACTCACTGATCGAAAGTTATTTGTCAAATCGCCCACAATCTGTGCAGATATCAGGATCATTTAGTAAAGAAATGTATATTAAGTGTGGTGTCCCACAAGGAACTGTCTTAGGTCTTATTTAAATGATATTTTCCAAATTAATTGTGTTGGCAAAATAACTAGTTTTGCAGATGATACTGCAATATTATATGAAGGCACTGACTGGTCTGATCTGAAAAATGTAATTGAAAATGATTTTATCAAAATTATTCGGTGGTTTAACAGTAAAAAATTAAACATTAACACATTTTTTACCATTTGGATCTTATGCTAGACATCTGCGAAATTACACAAATTTCTCCTTCAATATTAATGATCAAAAAATGCAAATTAATAGAGTGCCCAACATAAAATCCCTTGGAGTGGTCTTGGATCCTCACTTACGATGGGACATCCATGTCAATTATATTTTAAAGAAAGTTAGATTTGTATCCTACAAAATTAAATACCTTGGGAATATATTGACAGAAAAATATCTTCGAACACTATACCATGCACTGATTGAGCCTCATCTCACATATGGTATATTAGCATGGGGAGCTACATGTTCCTCACATATCTATAATTTAGATGTTTTTCAAAAAAGTATTCTAAAAATGATTTTTAAAAAACCGTAACTTTATCCCACTGAAAAATTATATGCAGATGTTCGAATGTATGATATAAGACAGCTTTATTTCTTACACAGTATCACTCACTATAATAAATTTGTAAACACCGTCCAAAAAATTAAACATAATCATTATACCAGGTACAAAATTCGTGGCACAGTAGTTCCTCAACCGCATAAATCTATAATGCAGCGATCATATCTCTATTTAGCGCCTAAATTTTATGAAATTATTCCTAAAGACTTAAAAGATTTACGTTTCGGAAATTGTTTCAAAAGAAATTTAAAAAAGTGGCTATATTCTATATCTAGGACTGAAATTCATAAACTCATAAATACGAACATCAACTAAATACATAATCTACTGTAGCTAATTTTTGTCCTTTTTTGTCATTTGCATTCTACAGTTTCAACTTAAATTATTGGTCCATGTAGAGGCGATGCCTTCTATTGGGCCTGTTTTGATTTTATATTTATTTACTCATATTGTTTGTTATCATTGTACATTCAGAAAAATAAATATTATTATTATTATTATTATTATTATTATTATTATTATTATCGTTTGCATCTGAAACTCTTGGGAAACGGATGTTCTGTATGAGGAAATTTGTTTTACATACTTTTGATACTTGAAAGAGCAAATATCTGGAGCGTTGCTCATCTACAGTGTATTTGTGTTGATGTGTACAGGGTGGCTGATATGTAACTGGCTGGTTTGTATCTTGAATATTTGTGAAATGAAATAAAATACGACAATGTGCTTTATATAAAAGGCCTGTTTCTCTATTTTATAGAAGGGACAACTAGGCCGAAATCCAAGCCTATCTCCTACCCAAGATGTAAGCCAACCGGGAAACAGTTCGGGTGGGACAAGATATTCCGATCCCAGAAGACCATGGTACAGCGTTCCAGGTCTTATACCTAACGTGGGGCCAAGGCACGGTCGCAGGGCTACCTGGGTTGGAGCGTCTGGGGACCAGACATTTTTGAAGCTCGATGAAAGTCTTATCAATGCTGTCAGTATTTCCAAGTCGACTGTTACAGCCAATAAGCATTCGATAGGTTTGTATACACCTAAAAAAGTTTTGAAACAGTCCTAGTAATTTTTAGATTTTTTGTTTTTGATTATCAACGACTATTCTTTTCTCATATAGTTTGCTTCAGCGTTTACAGTTTCATTTCATCCGTGGTCCTCTTTCAGTATTGTTGCCAAGTGAAGAAGAAACGGCGAAGAGCTTCAGATGCCTGGTGATTAATAAACGTGACGGTAACTGTAATGCTTTCAAAGGACAAGATCAAGTGCTTTTCACTCACAAAGCCGTTTGCCTTGACCACATCTATAATGTTCTTTGGTCTTTCAGTCCAAAGAATAACGAGTTCGCGTGTTACAATGTCATTGCTAGCGAGCTGCAAACGAAGACTGTCATCAAGACTACTGATAACCGATTGCTTTGCGATGTTAAGGTAAACATTGACTTTGGTCCTTGAAATTATGGATCTCTTTTTTATTTTGGAACATACACAATAATTTACGATTTGAAAGTGAAGTGTTTTATTTAAACGAGTGGTCTTGTAAAGTAGTAATTGGTGACATGTTTGTGATGGAATATCTAAATCATCTTTCACATCGATCTTTAGCATATTTAATTTGAAAATGCAATTGTATCGAGATAGTGCACAGTTATTCTTTTTTCTCTTGCAGGTAGTATACGATGCAAAAGGGACAACAAGTTTTCACAGCTGTACTCAATTCTGTCTCCTGAATTGGCACTTCCCGTGACTACGAATTGTCACGTGACTAGATTCCAAGCAGCCATCAATTTGCTTTGCTGTTTGGACATATTAACTATTGCCCAGGTAATGCTACGTGTTAAGCTGCGTTCTCACCGTGCGTGGCACACTAGCGTGATCCTCGCGTTCGTGGACTTCAGACGTTTGTAGCATTTTTTTTAAATCTTCTTGGTTCATCGTCTGCTAAATTGTGTCTTCATTCTTCGTCCACTTTTTGACCCAACAAAGCTTTTTATTTCATTTTTTTATATGTACTCGTTGCTCTCAACCTTTTCACTAACATACCACTAAAACGTGAACTCAAGAAAACTGTCACGAAAGAGAGATCGCACGCGTGCCTCGCTGTCGTCTTTTTGCCCCGCGAAAACCTAGCTTTAGACGTGTAAAAACAGACTGATGCTTCTACACTAATATTTTTTTTGCATTGATGAATTGGTATCAAATTTCTGTAAATAAAATGAGTAATAAACGATTTACGAGTACGAGGGTTGTTTCATAAGGTTCAGGCACACGGAATTTTTTATTTCACCATTAGAAATCATTAAGCTATTTTTTCCCTAGTCGCGATTTTTTAGAAACATCTTGCAACTCCTCGTCCGTCTCGAACCGTTGACCGCCTAGATGCTTCGTCAATTTCGGAATCGCTATGTCGGGGCTGTAAGGGCGATCGGCAATGACTTCACATCCAAATCGCTGGATTAAGTCCTTCGTTTGTTGTGAGACATGAGGATGCGCATTGTTGTGGTGCAGTCTTACACTTTAGTGAGTTTTCCTCTACGACGTCAAACAACTCTCTTCACCATTTGAGCACATTTGGAATGCTTATACACATTTCCTATACAGGGTGTTTCAGTTTATTGTTGCATAACTTTAAGATTCGATAGAACTTTTCAAATTAATGCATAAAGTCTATATAAACATGGGTCGAAAAATGCGTGGCTTCCGAAATTCAGGGTGTTTAAATTTGCTTTCTAAAATAGTTTTTTTTTAAATATTTCGAACAATATTTGATGTATAATAGTGAAAATTGATATACAAGAGTTTTTTGGTACGACAAAACGAACCATGGGCATAGTTTTACTGTAGCCGCTAGGGGGCGCTCTCTACTGTACCTGTAGTGTATTAAAATGACCGAAATTTTTTTCTTATTGCAATTTTTTGCTTTTTGAATAAAAAAACTGATTCTTTGCACTTTTCAACATAAAAAAGCTCTCTTGTGAATTTTCGTTATAGTTAGCCGTTTTTGAGATATTTCGATTTTTAAGGTTCGATGCATTTTTAATTATTTATGGGAAAATAACGTTAAAAAGTCAGTATCTCGATAATTTTTAGAAGTAGGCTGTGCCTGCAAATATTTTTGAAATTGAAAGCAGAATAAGGTTAAACGTCAATTAGTTGACAGTTAGTTTTGTTGTCTATTGAAACCTGAACGTTTCTTTGCAATTGTGAATGCACGAAATTTAGTTTCTTTTACCTGTTTTTTTTTGTAAGTTTTATAAAAATGCCATTTTTATTCTCCAATCAAGAGTTAGCGGAGATTCATTTTGTGTATGGCGTTGTAAATAGAAACGCAGCAGATGCAGCCAGAGAATACGCACGGAGATTTCCAAACAGACGACATCCAACTCGCTCAGTATTTGTAAGAGTGCATCGCCAAATAATTGAAAAGGGTTTTGGAAATCTCCAAAGGGATCAAAACATAAATGTTCGTCAGCGCAGATTTACCCGTATGATTCTGCGTGAGTTTGATAGAGATCCGACCACAAGTGTTAGGAGAGTTTCTGGTGCCTTGGGAATTTCAGCAAGCCATGTTCACCGTGTTCTTAGAAATGACCATAGACGTCGTTACCATTTGCAACCTGTGCAAGGACTACAGCCAGGGGACGGAGAACGAAGAATCACATTTTCTCAGTGGATTCTTGATAGAACTGATAATAATAGGGAGTTTTTAAGTAACGTTTTATGGACCGATGAGTCATGCTTCACTAAAAATCGAAATATCTCAAAAACAGCTAACTATAACGAAAACTCACAGGAGAGCTTTTTTATGTTGAAAAGTGCGAAGAATCAGTTGTTTTATTCAAAAAGCAAAAAATTGCACTAAGAAAATTTTTTCGGTCATTTCAATACACCACAGGTACAGTAGAGAGCGCCCTCTAGCGGCTACAGTAAAACTATGCCCATGGTTCGTTTTGTCGTACCAAAAACCCTTGTATACCAATTTTCACTGTTATACATCAAATATTGTTCGAAATATTTAAAAAAAACTATTTTAGAAAGTAAATTGAAACACCCTGTATTTCGGAAGCCACGCATTTTTCGACCCATGTTTATACAGACTTTATGCATTAATTTTAAAATGTCTATCGAATCTTAAAGCTATGCAACAATAAACTGAAACACCCTGTATACTTCAGTCAACTGGCCACGAATTTCTATGGATGGTAACGTGTTTGTGTGCAAAACTCGCAAATAGGCGCTTCTGGTTGGGATCGGTGGTGGGGGAGCCGACAAACACGACGGTGTTGCCAAATTTCGCCTGGCATCACATCCAGTATTTTTGAGACACCCCTCGTACTTGAAACCCTCGCTTAACTTAGTTGCATACAGGAAATTCAATATGACATTTTCATTTTCTTGAGGTACACGCAGTTTCTTGAGTAAATGCAACGACCTCTATAAGCGATTTGAAAAGAACTGCATGTATTCGATATTTATTTCTAGGAGCTACAGCTAACGACCGTACATGAAAATGTAAACGAAAGGCAGTTAATTTCGGGAAAGCAGTACTCGAAGGAGGATTTCCAAGCTGTCAACAGATTTGAAAGTCACGGTGGAGGATGGGGGTAAATTTTAAAATGAAGTCTTACGTAACTTATTGATAATATTTTCATTTGCATCTTGCATGGCGGTGACATTTGGAGGGTGTTGCTCTGTGGACTATCATAAGTGATACAGCGATTATTTATTTATTTATTATCAGTTTGTGGTCTTATTATCCCCGTCGTGCATGTGCTGTAGATTACGTGAAAGGTGGAGATAGTTTTTTCGTTGATCAAACAACAAAAACGTGTAGTGTTAGATGTCAATTTTATTTTGCAAAATACTCTTGCATTTCATACTTAATTTAAATAATTTTGTAGGTATTCCGGACACAGTGTAGAAGCCATTCGGTTCATGGTAGATTCCGATATCTTACTAGGTGGTTTCGGCTTGTTCGGAGGTAGGGGAGAATACACTGCGAAATTAAAGTTGTTTGATATCGGTCCGGACGGTGGAGAACAAGAAATTGACGGAGATCTGCTGACTGAAACGGAGGAGATCCCTTACGAGTGTGGACCGAGGCAGAAGTACCCGATACTCTTCGACGAGCCAGTTCCACTGCAAGTAAGTCAACATGTAGAGGTAGTACTATATCTTTTCATTATAGCTCCGACAATGATACCAACAAAGCTGTCCCATGTCAAGATAAAAAATATAAAATAAATAATAATAATAATAAATGTTATTAGCAACAAAACAATAGGGCGAAGTTTAGCCAGTTGGCTACTCTTACACCCAACCCTATTGTGTGATTAAATATGTATATACACCTTAGGAAAAACCATTGTTATACATGGGAAATCATTTCCGTTGTCAAGTGCGATAAGGGATTCATGACTCACTCTGCGGTTGGGTTTTGTGTAGGAAAGGTGCGTCTTTATTTAATCCAAAATATCTTAAAAATGTACTCGCAAGAAGAAAAGTTTCAAATGATAGAATGGTACATCCAGAATAATTCAGCACGCGCGGTTGTTGAATTATTTGCGGTACGCTTCCCAGATCGGCCAATTCCGTCTCACACAACGGTTATAAATACCTACGAGAAATTCAAGAGGATGGGCTGCTTACATAAGTGCCATAGCTGCATGCACCCTGAAGGTTGGAAACCAAATATTAGCGAGAAAAGGGAGGAGATCGAAACTGCTGTTTGTGCCGCTGCAGAAGTATCTGAGCCATGCTCAAGCAGAAAAATTGCTGAAATGGTACCAATAGCCGATCTCACACCCAGAACAACAAGAAATATTTTGCATCGCAACGGCTATCATAGCTTCAAGGTTGGAACGGTTCAAGAAATATTTCCTTTAGACAAATACCGTCGAATGGAGTTTTGTGAAACGGTCATGGAGAAGGCGAACAGGGATGGAAGTTTTATTGGTAACATTTTGTTTACTGATGAATCCACATTCCCTCTCCACGGTCATCACAATCCTTCAGTCGTTCGGTATTGGTCTCGGGAAAATAAACACCTCAGTATTCCCGTCCGCACGCAGTATCTCACAGAAACTGAATGTGTGGGCAGGAATTCTAGGTAATAACATTATCGGACCGTTCTTTATTGATGGAACTCTTACGGCTGCAAAATATTTGGCGTTACTACAGACGCAGATTGTTCCTGCAATTAGGCAGCTTGGCATTGATCTCGCTAATAGTTTGGTTCCAACAAGATGGATGCGGCGATCGTACACACTTACCTTGAAAGTGTGTTCGGCCACCGGATTATTGGCGGTAACGGAACAATAAAATGGCCTCCTAGATCACCCGATCTAGCGCCCAATGATTTTTTCTTGTGGGGTTATGTGAAAAGTACTGTTTACACTTTCAATGAGAGAGCAGACAATTTGCATAACCTACAGGTGAAAATCGTTGAAGCGCTCGGGCAAATACAGCCCTCTTGAGAGTTCGTCAGGAGTTTTATAACCTCCTGACATACTGTTCATTGAATGAAGGAGACGTTTTGAGCCCCAGCTGTGAAGGACCATTTGAAACATTTGTGTTCATTATTGCGTTTTATTTTTGAGAACTTATTTTTTTGTTAGAATATCTTTTTATTTTCGTTACACATTTTAAGAGTGTACTATTTTTTGTTAGAGTGGGTATCTTCTTATGTTATGAGACGCAACCTTTATTGCTACAAAACCAATTATCCATTCATTAAAATAAGTAGAGTGATTTCGTGAAATCTCGAAATCACCGAAATCGGTTCACAGGACGTCCAATCGAACTGGTGCGTAATGCGCGCATCTACTGTACTCTTCTATCGACTCAACGCATACTGAAATTTGCAGCAGACCGCAGACCTGTATCACGAATGAGAATAATAGGCAGATACGCTGTGTTGCCAATTTGAGTAGAGCTTCCCGAATTGTGGGGAATTTAGAGTTAAGTGTTGATTCATTCCAGCTTTCAATCAGCATGGCCTAGACGTTAGAACTTCATAAAGATAACATTGAAGCTGAATGCTGCTGGAGTATAGTGTTTCGAATATTCAAAGCGAAGCGGGACACTATACTCGTTCAATGGGTCATCAAGCCACAGTCTTTTCAACAAAGAAATTATTTTACGAAATTGCGTTATATTTTTACGATTTTGTCGTCACCAAATCTCTGTTTCTCAAAATGTACGTCTATTGTAGAATTTTCAGCAAACTAAGCAAGAAACGTGATCTAGTATTTACTCAACATTACGGATTTCTCGAAATACATTAAAAAATGTGACCTAGATACCTAACTGCCCCAAGCTCTTTAAATATAACACCTTAAACCAGGGTTACCAGGTGCTCAGTCACGTTGATTGTCATGTTGTTCTGCGCAAATCAGCAAACAATCTGGCGTAATAAACGTTAGGAATCATCAGGTATTGCCAGATTCCCGAATACCGGGCACCATAGTACCCGTTATAGTTGTCCTTCAAAGTTGTCAAATCGCCCCTATGGCGTAAATTCGCCACACCAGGCAACTGTGCTATAAACAAACCCTGTTTATCACTGCTATTTGATAGTCATATGGTAGTTGTAGCCCTATCTAGCGGTCCATGATTTCTCTCAATACTGTTGTATCTCTACTGGCAACAAGAATAGGGATTACAAAATCATTTATACAACAATATACAAACATGATTTGAACCATGAAACATTAATACAATTTTAATTGTTTGAACTTTTTTCATTTTTGGAATACTCTTATGTGGAATCCGCAGCTATTTTTCCCGAAATTTGGGTAGACTTAGATTTCTTAGAAATATGACATATTGGTATCGGCAACTCTGCGAATGGGAGAAACAAATCGCATTTGTTGAGCGCATCCGTCTAAGCGGCAGGCGCCAGCGCCCGTTCTGCCATCTCTCTTTTATCACTCTTCTACTTTACCCCGTTGTCCGTCACACTCCGATAGGATCCTACAATCGAGTGTCTTTCACGCACCTACATACTTTTGTATATTTCCATCTCTCTTCCTCATCATAATGTATAATAATGTTTTTTCCCAAGGTGTACAATTCAAAGTCACATATATGCAACCTAAAAATAAATACATCGATCTGGCTTTCAACTAAGCGAGCTAATAATAAAGTGAAAAATACAGCGCTATATTGGTTTACCAAAAAGGAACCAGTCAAGAACCAATACTGAACGGATGACAACACAAAAAAAAACATAAAGATAATAATAACTAATTATGATACATCTAAACCGCTGATTTTTAACCAGCTTCCTGAATGTTACTACACGTTTGCTTCTCCAGGCAACTCTGAGAATGGGAGAAACAAATCGCATTTGTTGAGCGCATCCGTCTAAGCGGCAGGCGCCAGCGCCCGTTCTGCCATCTCTCTTTTATCACTCTTCTACTTTACCCCGTTGTCCGTCACACTCCGACGCTGCCAGATAGGATCCTACAATCGAGTGTCTTTCACGCACCTACATACTTTGTATATTTCCATCTCTCTTCCTCATCATAATGTATAATAATGTTTTATCCCAAGGTGTACAATTCAAAGTCACATTGTCGCATTGTCAGATTATTATTATGTTACTAGTTACAAATTTACTATGGAGATAGATGGGCTTTTTAGTACACAATGTCTTATGCACAAATACCTTAAGACTATATTCAAATTGTTCATCCATTTTCAGCCATTTCAACTCCTTGATATTAGAGGAGACATGACTATATTTTCGAAGACCATACACAAACCTACAGCAGTTGTTTTGTATTCTTTGGATCCTACACCGATTCATAGAGTCAAGACAAGGACAGTATAAGGTTAAAGCGTAGTTGAGGCTGGACATTATCAAACTTTCAACTAGCTTCTTACGCGTTTTAAAGTTAATAATGAATCTATTCACATATAGCAGTCTAAATTTGGAAATATTATAAAAGAAAATTGACAAAAGTATTTCATCGAAAAGCAGACTCCATAGTAGTGAAATTTTATATAAAAATATGTAGACTTGAAGACACATCATTGATATTGTAACATTAAAGCTATACAAATCTACAATGAACAAACATAAAAACGATTTTTGATCTTAATATAGATGCCAATATTAAAACTTCCCTTATTTTCCACGAATTTGATCAGGCTTCATAAATAATAACTTGATATATTCACAGGCCCACCGATGGTACGTGGCGTGGTGTCGTATAAGTGGCCCCAGCAGCGACTGCGGTAGCTCAGGTCAGAGCATGGTCACCACCGAGGACCAGGTTCTCTTTTACTTCAAATCGTCCAAGAAGTCCAACAACGGCACTGACGTTAACGCAGGTCAAATACCGCAGTTGCTGTACAAGTTGATCACGCCCGAAAATCAGTCGACGCCGAGACAGATGGACTTCGTCGAATCAGTGCACATCCTCTCCAGGGATTTCTCCAAGAGTGTCACCAAGGAGTGCTTCCAGAGCTTGATTTCGCTGTTGCAGTGGAGCTGGAACACGTTCAAGTGGGGTAATGTTATCTCTTTACACGGTGTTTTCAAAGTTGAGTCATTTATTTTAACAGCTTATCAAAACTTTCGGCGTCATATGATCGGAGTACAGCGAAAGCTCCCGTAAGCGGACACTCACGGTTCCGTAACTTTTGTCCGCTTATGGGAGGTGTCCGTTTAAAAGAGAGTATGTAAGTATAGAGTATAAATAACGGGGT